TATTTAGTTTAGAATAATTGTGAAAACATTCAGACAATAGAACAATCAACAAAATGTCCTTTCTGAGAGCTACAATGTCTATAGTTTGTTGTATATCAGTACTTCCTGCTGAACTTTCTGCTCTCATAATCAGAGTTCCAAAACTTTTTCCCTTAGTGCAAGTAGTATCTGGTATATTAAGAAAAAAAGGAAAGAAATCAGACTAAACACCATGAATTTATAATAACATTTATAATAACAAATCATGTTTTTAAAGAATTTAGAAGAAAATGAATCAGAATCATGAGAACTACAACTGGTTATGGCATATTATGTCCAATTTCCATATATATACTATAGCTCTGTTTGGAAAATAAATGATTCAATGAGATTTATTTTGTTTTCATCTATGACAGTCGGAGAAGTCATGACAGCTTTTATTCTCGAAGTGCTGGAATTGAGCTAAAGAAAAATGGCCATTTGAACCCAGTTAATTTCTTTCCTCACTTTAAAAAGTTAGTTGGTTCATGGAAAATTGAAACTGTACATTGTAATTCCCTTCTGTGAAATGGACGTTTGAGAAAAATATCTGTTCTCTACTGAAGAAAGTAGATATTTCAGTTGTTCTTGTGTTGACCGGCTTGTGGATTTTGAAAAACACACACATTCCTTACTACATTTTTAACTTCTTAATTTTATTCGACTGATTGTATTCTGTGACCAAGATTCATACTACTGTACTTCAGGTTTGTTTTTACATAAATAATCTTTAGCTTTTTTGGAGTTCTGCTAAATGAAAGCATCACACCATTCATTTATTTTGGGGGTATTTTGAGATGAGATATTTGAAACGTTTTTGGAAAAGCTTTTTTCATTACATACTCAGAGGTACTTTATTATCAAGGATACATTTAGAATAGATTCTTGCATTACAAAGTTTATATACTTTAAAAAATTAATTGGCAATATTTTTAAATGGCTTCTAAAAGGTATCTATATACTAGTCCTAGTGAATGTTACCTTATATTAAAAACTGAGGAGTATCTGCAAATTAAGAAATTTAAAATATAGAGATTAATCTAGATTATATAAGAGAACACTAAATTAAAAGCACATTTATGATTTCAATTGGGGGATAGAACAATTGACAGATATAGAAAAGACTGCCATGTGAAGATAGAGCAGAAACTGACATGAAGATGTTTGCTACAGTCAAGGAAAACCAGCAGTCATTAGAAGAAGAAAGAACAGAACTTACTCAAGAGCTTGCACAGGGAGTGTGGCTCTTGCCAGTGCCTTGACATTGACCCAGATATATTAATATTGGACTTTAGAGTCACAGAACACTAACAGAATAAATTTCTTTTATTTTGAGCCACTAGTTTTCATTTTGTTTGTAATTTGTTGCAGGAAACTAATACAAAGTCCTTATAATATATCTAGCCTAACTGCTTCCATTTTAGCAACAATCAATTTTTCCTTATAATCTATCTGCACATTCACATCTACATTTTCTGGGATGATCTGGAAACTATCTTCCCTGATTTGTGAAATTTTTATTTCTTAAATTTGATAAACATTGGTCCTTTTTGAACTGCCATAATTACAATAAATTCAAAGTAAGGAGAAACTAGACTGAACCACATTATAATTTATACAATGTCTATAAATCAGAAAATTTAATAACTAATTTAAAGACACAAAGTAATCATTAAACCTAGCTCAAATCTGGACTTAACACAAATTGCATTGTTCTTTTCACAACAATTACAAAGCGTCACAAACTAAAATTCAGAGGTTCATGAATTACATATTTATGAATTCTTATCCAGCCAACCAGTATACATATCTTTTATCCTAGACCTAGATGTAAATAGAATAGTGCTGTCATGTACGATAAAGCTCCATGGATTTCATCCTCAATATGCTTGTGAGATACTTGAACACCAACATTTCAAAGCCTTGAAACACACATAAGCCCATCAGTTCTAAGGATATCATATTGGCAGGTAAGGATATAGGTCAGTGGCAAATTCTGTAACTGCAAATCATTGGCAAACAAGGGTGATGCTCTGTAAACCATAAGTGCTGGAAATGAATAAGTAGATTATCTAAGAAATGGTTCAGTGTAAACATGATCCTTTCCAAACTTCTCAGGAAGAAGAGTACTCCAGTTAACAAACTTAAAGAGATGTCTGGATTCCACAGGCATGTGTTGGTTTTTTTCTCATTGCCTCTGGAAGTGCTTCATCCTTGGTGAAATACAAACTTACAAGTTTTATGGTTATGTCCGTTGTCAGCACTATACCATGCTCATTTTCTCGGTGAGCAGGCAAATAAGTATCAATCATTTGTAAGCCAGGATAAAATAAAACTTGTATCTTGATTTTATGTTTTATTTCAGGATCATTCTACACCTGAAAAAAACATGATACTTTTTAAGGCCAAACTTTGCAAAACACCAGGAGAAGAATTTTAAAAGTTAAGCAATCATGAGCTAATGCTAAATAAATTGATTGTTATGGCTTGTATCTAGATGTCTCCCCAAAGCCTCGTGTCTAATAGGTGCAGCTTTTCAGCAGTGACTTGATCTAGGGTGTGTGAATATGGATTAAGTGTATGTGATATCTGGATTGTCCCTTAATTGGATTAGCATACTTCTGTGTGTTGTTGAATAGATTCACTGAAGAGGGAAGCCCCACACTTGGTATGGGTGGCACCAACCAATAGGCTTGTAACCTGAATGGAATATAAAGGGGTCAAAAGCAGGTTGTTGCTTCTTCCTGCTTCCCATGCCGTGGACTGTTTCTCCTCTACAATGTCCTTCTGGCATATCCACCTGCTTTGGATCCAGCAAACAATGGACTGAAAGTATACAAAATTTAAATGAAAATAAACCTTTCCTCCTTGACCTTGTGGATGTTGGATATTTTCTTCCTGAAATGAAAAAGTAGTAAGACATTAATATTGCAAATCATACCATATAGATATGGTATGTTTCACTGGCATGAAATGGTGTCAAGCCACTTAAACATGAAAGTTTTATAAAGTGTTTGTTGAGAGTTTGAGAAACAAAGAATGAATATAAGAGAATGGATAGAGATATAGAGAGGTAGAAAAAAGTAAAAGAAGTGAGAGATATATACAAAGATTTTATCAAAATCAACAATGAATGAAAATAATGCATGTTAAATATAAAATGTCCAGAGGAAATTGATAGTATACATAAATTTGTAAAAGTTTTTCTTGACTGAAAGCCACCAAATGGATGGAAGTAATAAACTACTAAGTGATATTATTTTATTTTAAACTTTGAAAATATTAAAACTTTTGAATATTTTTGAACATTTAAAGCTATTTTAAATCATATCTTTTGGCCCTTAGCCAGGCATTCCCAATACGATACTGTTATGGTTTATTTCTTGATGTTTCTCTAAAGCTTCATGGGCTCATAGGTGAGGCTTTTTGGAAGACAGTGGATCATGGGGGTGTGACACTCATCAGTGGATTAATTCAGGGATGAATTTATAGCTAAATGTGATTTTGGGAAGTAAAGCCTTGTCAGAGGAGGTTGGTCACTGAGGGACACAGCCTGAAAAGTTGTATCTTTATCCCTCCTACCTTCATCTTTCTCGGTATTTCCTGATTCCATGCAGCTGCATTTCCCCTGCTATATCTCTCAGCAACGTCACCCTTCCTTGGAGCCAGCTGGAACTCTGAACTTGAAACCTCTACTATCTTAACCAAAATTCTGTTTCCCCCTTAGAGTTGCGGATGTCATTATTGTGTCTCAGTAAGGAGAAAGTAAATAAGCCACATACAATAAATTTTCAGAAGAATTAAAATACAAAGGTACACAGAATAAATTTGAAGAGGACAATTATAAAGAAATTATTTCCTGAAACAATGATGGAGTGTTTGATAAAGGAAGAGAATTGTGGGGAAAAAATCCTGTTAATCCTCACAAAGTTTAATGTGGAAGAGAAAAACTGTGGACCCTTTGATGAGGTGTTCCTCTCTCTCTCCAGAGGTGAAGGACATTTTCAAGGTTTCACTTAGAGAAACTAAAATTAATCACCCAGGAAATGTCTCAGCTTGTGTCTAGCATCTGCACTAATGACACCTGAACAAATAAAAATACTTGTACTGCTCCAATTGAAAAGCTAAGGACCAGAAAATGTACAACTAAGTCAAACTCTCATCATAGTAACTGGCTTACCCCAGTGAGTGGAAACTCAAAAGGTACCACCAAGAAGGGAATGATGTCATACCACTTCCAAAATATACTCCCATAATGTTACAGATTTCCAAGTTTAGATAGAAAATGAGCCAAGAAACCTTTCCTGACAGAAATTTCTCCAAATCTCAAGTTATCCCCTAGTTTCTCATTAATCAAATAAAATCACTGCCAGTATCCCACCCTAATCATTTCACCCTTAATCTCACAAATTGAAGGAAAAAAAAGCATATGGTATACATAGAGATTGGGCAAGAAGAATCCAGCCATATTTATACCTAAGCTTAGCCTTTTTTCCCAAAATGTCAATGTGTTATTTTTCACTCAAATGTGTCATTACTTTACCCCACCGTGTTTATTATGCATTCAATATTTTTATTTGTTGTTTTGTTTTCCTCTCTAACAATTTAAAAGCTCAGGCCAAAGTCAACTTTCTATTGAAACAGCACCACTTGGTCACGAAGTTCAACGTTGCCAAAGTAGGCAGTTTTATGCTAGTGTTAACGACTACATAATCAATCAGATGTGAATCTTTTCAGATGTTTTCTACACATTTAATATATATATATATTTATAACTGTATATATGTGATTATATATGTCAAATTCTAATCAAAGGAAACTCCTCTTTATAGATTTTTACTTCTCTCAATCCAAGTACCATTTCCCCTTATAAAAATGTACACAGTGGGACGCCATTAGAGGGAGGCGGAGAGGGAGCGCTCTTCGCCTTTCCTCGGGTGCCTGACGCTGGGCCCTGCGTTCTTGGACTTTTTCTGGGCCCTTCCAGACCGCGCCCGAGGAGGGGTGCAGCGGCCTTCCCAGTCGGCGGGCAGCTGCGGAGGGGTGTGGAGGCCGCGGCTGTGAAGGCGCCGCCGCGGTTCTGGGGCTCAGGAGGCCGGGAAGCGGCGGGATGGCTGCGGCCGGCGGCGGGGCGAGCTTACTCGTTCAAGGTGGTGCTGCTCGGGAAGGCTGCGTGGGGAAGACGTCGCTGGTGCTGCACTACTGCGAGAACAAGTTCAACGACAAGCACATCACCACTCTGCAGGCATCTTTCTTAACAAAGAAGTTAAATATCGATGGGAAAAGAGTAAACCTTGCCATATGGGATACAGCAGGTCAAGAGAGATTCCATGCATTGGGTCCAATTTACTACAGAGATTCAAATGGAGCTATTTTAGTTTATGATATAACAGATGAAGATTCTTTTCAGAAGGTAAAAAACTGGGTCAAAGAATTACGAAAAATGTTGGGAAATGAAATCTGTTTATGTATAGTTGGTAATAAAATAGATTTGGAAAAGGAGAGACATGTGTCCATTCAAGAAGCGGAATCGTATGCAGAATCTGTGGGAGCAAAGCATTATCATACCTCAGCCAAACAGAACAAAGGAATTGAGGAACTTTTTCTTGACCTTTGTAAAAGGATGATAGAAACAGCACAAATGGATGAGAGGGCAAAAGGCAACGGCTCTAGTCAACCAGGAGCTGCAAGACGCAGTATACAGATTATAGATGATGAACCTCCAGCTCAGAGTGGTGGTGGAGGGTGTTGTTCTTCTGGATAACTGTTCACACCTAAGAAATTGAAAAAACAAAACTGGATCATTGCCCTCAACATGAAGACTGCCATATTTCAAGTCACATTATTTTACCAATAGAGTTATAGAATTAACAGTACTTTAAATTACATTTATAACACTGCAGAGACCTTAAGTGCTAAACTTAGTGGAGTTTGTGACCAGAGAATTGGCATTTTCTACAAATGTTAGCAAAGCAATTACCAATGGCCTTTTTACATATTTTTTTCTTTAATGAGAAATAATATGCATGTAGAAAAGACCTTCTTAAAGGCTTCATTTATATTCTTTTAAATCAGCTCTTTATTTAATAACTTATATATGTTGTTGGAATGGTGTGCATTTTTGCAGCCCTTTGTATTTTGTGGTAGTTTGAATTGTATCTCTCCTAAACAGCAAACTGATTTTGTTTCTGTTTTTAGTTAGCAGATAGATACCCGAAGTACTATTTTTGCACGGTTTGCACAGGCCCCTAACTGTCTACTACTTTGATATAATCTATATACATCCTGTATGCTGAGCTGGTAAAATACATTGTAAATAGAATATTAAATATTTTTTCTCCTTTTACAAGCACAAGGTGCAAAAATATATGTACAATAGCGTCATTGATGACTGTAAAGTGAATTAACATTTGTTGATAATGCCTAAGCTTTTGACTCTAATATAAAGATCATCACTCCCCCTTCACTTGTGTCTTAACTTGAAAGTGGTGTGTTTAAATTTTCACATACTTTACTTGAAATATTGCTGTTGTCACATTTTTTGCCTCTATAAGTCCATCTGATGATTGAACAGCAGCATGTGCCTTTTGGTTTGGGTTTTCTGTTTTTGTTTTAATAAAAGAAATGGCTTCTGATTTTGTTTTAGAATGGTTACCTTAGAAGAATTTGAGTAGAACATGCTGAGGTTCACTTCTGCAACAGCTTTGATTTTCTCTTAGGCTTTATATGTAATGGGTTCCCTGGTGGCATGACAAGACAGGTCAAGGTTCTGGATAATAGCCACTCATCAAGGTTCATTTCTATAACATGTTAGTGGTAATTTATGCTCCTGAAGTAGCACTTTTACATCCCTGTGAGCAAGTTCTATTTGTTCATTGCTTGTCAGAGATGAACACAGAAAGTTTTGTTCATTTTATAAGAGCTGTCCTTCTGAGTTTCAGTGGAGGGAAGCATTTCATATAATACAGTTATAGCAAACACTGGAAAGATTTATTGTAAAATTATATTCTTGTATACTTTGTAAATTAGTCCTTCATTAGATTTTTTTTTCTTTAGCATAGAACCACACTTAAACTTGTTAATTTGATGGAATCAGGCACTGCTCACAAAAGGAACACAGATTGTGGAAATTAACATAAATTGTTCTTCTAATATATATATATATGTATGTATTTTTTTCATTTCTGTCATGCTTGGAAAACTAGCAAATGTTATGTTTAAGATACAGTGGAATGGTCCTTGGATTTACTTCTCATAAGCACTAGTATGTAATGAAACTGTTAGCATGAGCAGTTATAGAAGATATATGGGGTTTAGTTATTGAGGAAGTACTACTATATTGTTAACTTAATAGTTTAAACCTACCCAAATGGGTTAAAAGTTGAGTGACTTGACACCTTGATGTTATGATGTTTGGATTTTAGCTTAGTAGCACTAAGTATTCTGTAGCCCACACTTTACATACTTTTAATTATTCCCCTTGCCAAACTCAACACACTGACCTCTGCTGTGTGTGTTCGAGGATGGTGGGAGAGGGAAGAGTCAGGAAGATAAGTTAAAACTGTCTTCTTTTGGGGCCAGGGATTTAGCTCAGTGGTTCCGCCGCCTGCCTCGCAAGCACAAGGTCCCAAGTTCAATCCCCGGTATCAAAAAGAACAACAACAAAAAACTCTTCTTTTATGAGATGATTGCACTCTGTATAGCCTCTTGGTTTCCTGTGAAGTTAGTGTTTATTTGGGGATGGAAGAGGCAGTGAGAATTACGAGTCTCACAGGAAGATTTGGTTCTGCCCTTCTAGCTCTTTATTATTATTATTATTATTATTATTATTATTATTATTATTATTTTATT